ATACTGTGTTGTAAATGACGCGAGCTATAACCATAGACTCCAATACAATCACAATGATTTCTTTTGTTCCCTATATGAATGTATAGAAACAATCTATGAATAAAAAACCTGCTTGACGACATGTTTCATTTGCAAACATTACCGTTAGCCAGGCTAACTAGCTCATATATTGTTGTATAATTATCTAAGTTGTTTTTGAAGTATTTTGTATTGGGAATATTTTGAATTGGAAATAATTTATATATTTGAAATATGTTGATATTTTTTTTTCTTTTTGAGAAGTAAATCATAGCTATACTGGCGTGGCCTAGAGGTAGAGCGTTAGACTCGAAAGTTTCGAGTTCCGATCCCGGGTAGGAGTTAGTAGGACTTCCCTGAGTCCACCCAGCTCTGGTGGGTCCCTGACTTACGTTAGGGAAACAAAAGCGGCTGAGCGAAGTGCTGACCACATTATCCACTTGCATGCCGAAATATTAAAACAGCTGAACTCTACTTCATCTGCCCAATGTGTCTTGGACAAGAACGGGAAAAGATGATACATTGCCCTTTAATTTTGATGTGTTTTTCCTTTCAGATTCTGTGTGTCTAAAAGTATTTTGTTTTTCAGAAATTTATTCTTTAAGCCATCTTGTTATTGAGCCGCTTAAAAATACTTTACCTGTAAAACTGAACCTACTTATCCTACATATTTATCGTGCAACCTTGGGGCTGTTTATAAAATACTTTACTTGTAGGACTGAACTTAATTAATCCTACATATTTCTCATGCAACCCTACAACCGTAGATAAAATACATTACTTGTAGGACTGAAGTAATGAATCCTACATATTTCTCATGCAGCCCTACAACCGTAGATAAAATACATTACTTGTAGGACTGAACTTAATTAATCCTACATATTTCTCATGCAGCCCTACAACCGTAGATAAAATACGTTACTTGTAGGACTGAACTTAATTAATCCTACATATTTCTCATGCAACCCTACAACCGTAGATAAAATACATTACTTGTAGGACTAAACTATGAATCCCACATATTTCTCATGCAACCCTACAACTGTACCTTATATAAAATACTTTACTTGCAGAACTAAATTAATGAATCCTACATATTACTCATGCAACCCTACAACTGTACCGTATATAAAATACAATACTTGTAGGACTGAACTAATGAATCCCACATATTTCTCATCCAACTCCACCCGTAGTTTATTAACCACCATCTCTGCAGTTCTCCTGATATCAGCGTCTATGTATTTAACCCCTCTTTCTCCTTGTTCCATCCTTAGCGAGACTCGCTCATCTGTCATAATAAATTAAAACACACATGTAAATAAAATACTGAGATAATAAGTAACAGGTGTATAGAAAAAATGTATCGTCGGTGATGCCGTCTAAAGTAGAGGCAACGAACCGTGAAAGTCCCGGTCAATATTCAAATGTTAATCGCTCTCCGTGTGGATGCTTGAATAGATCTAATTGTGTCTATTTTTGGGAACCTTTTCACTACAGTTTAAGCCTGGGAAATCGATGCCTGTATGTAGATTATGCCCGTATAACGGTGTAGGAAGGGACCCGTGTTTGTTACCCTTAGGCTTACAGTGTTCCATACATTGCATCACACCTAGGTGGTTAGGGGGTTCTAGTTATGTGACAGATAAAGGGGGGGATTCAAGACAAGCGAATTGGCATATATTGCTATTTCAACAGTCTAAAGAAAAAAAAAAGAAAAAAATATCTTAATTTACGATCTATAATTATTTACATTTTACACGGTTGGTGGGTAGGAATCTGTGTTTGTGTGTGTGTAGGGGGTATAATCTGAATCAGTGTTGCTTCATTTCATTCAGGGGAAGTAGCTTTGTATGAAGATAAGTGGGTACAATCGGCTAAAATAGCGTTAAGTCATTTATGGATGACTCGTAGATTCTATAGTAAAGAGCTCGATAACATCAAAGTGCATTTTCTACTTCTATACATTTTTATGCAATTAAAATCTACATTTTGTAAAAGAGGCGCCTTTAAATGAGACTTTCTGTAGAAGAAGCGCCATGAAAAGACTTCCTTTCTATAAAAAGGCGACCTTAAGAGACTTACGTTTTAGAAAAGAGGAGCACATATAAGACACTTTTTGTGTAATTAGGAGCCCTTTGAAATTAAATACTTATTTTCTCTCTTTAAAAGAATTACTTTTTGTAAAAGCTTCAACCTTGTAAATTATGGTAGCTTTTTACAAAAAGAAGAAGAAGATTCATTTAAATTGCCAAAAAAAGACGTGTTTGTGACTTACCGAATTCTCCTATCTAGACATTTAAATGATACATATTGAGTCCGTCTTGGTACATCAAAAGCGATTTCTGATGCACATTTTGCTTACAGGTACTTGACTTTCGTTAGTTTCATTTTATTTTCACCCTCTAGAAAACACAAAGCGCCATATTGCATGCTTGACTTAGAAACACACACACACACACACGCATACCGGTATTCATAACAGTGACTCGCCCAGCTTTAACACTGATCACAGGTAACATTCTTCTATTGTGCTGGCTTACAGCAGTCATAGATTTACAATCAAAGTGAGATTAAGGCATGATCTCCACTGTCAGTTTTAGTTTCATGCAACTCTTGAGTCTGACAGTCTAACTACAGGGACAGTGAAATCCTGTGTTGATACTACGTCCTACAGTCTAACCACAGGGACAGTGAAATCTTGTGTTGATACTACGTCCTACAGTCTAACCACAGGGACAGTGCAAGCCTGTGTTGATACTACGTCCTACAGTCTAACCACAGGGACAGTGAAATCCTCAACTTGATACTACGTCCTACAGTCTAACCACAGTGAAATCCTGTATTGATACTACGTCCTACAGTCTAACCACAGGGGCAGTGAAATCCTGTATTGATACTACGTTCTACAGTCTAACCACAGGGACAGTGAAATCCTGTGTTGATACTACGTCCTACAGTCTAACCACAGTGAAATCCTGTATTGATACTACGTCCTACAGTCTAACCACAGGGACAGTGAAATCCTGTGTTGATACTACGTCCTACAGTCTAACCACATGGACAGTGAAATCCTGTGTTGATACTACGTCCTACAATCACAGGGACAGTGAAATCCTGTGTTGATACTACATACCATAGTCGTACCACAGGGACAGTGAAATCCAGCATTGATTAACTCTACTTGAGGGTATCCGTGTATACCCTGTTGACTTACCCACTTCAAGTTCTTTATTAATTCACCGGGGGAGGGGGGTACTAACCTAATATATCTGCCACAACAGGACAACGATGCATATTATAGTAATCTTAACAACAGGCGCCTTGCCACGATCTCATAAAATTAAGGTAAAAAGTAACCTATTTCACCAGCACACTTGAAAATAGAAGTTTATTATCGGCAATTTTTATTTATTTTAAGTAAACGGTTATGCTTTTAAATACAGCGTTAAATATCTAAAAAAAAAATAACCTTTAATATTTAACCATCTAGTCTACTACCTTTGTGTACGCACTGAAAATATCCTAATCTCTAGCAATCAAATACAATCAGTACAGCCCGAATAACATACCTATACAGCTATGTGATCCTAATCCACTAGGTCAGACTACTCCAAATTTTTGTCATTACATTCAAGCTATTCAACCATGAAATATAAATAATATCCAGCTGTTATATCCCACAACTGTAATGGCACAATCTTCAAAGAGCCGCGCCCATTCACTCCTCACGGTGGGCGCACTAACTCACAGGCCGGTACAACTTTCTTCATCACCCCCCCCCCCCCTCCACCCCTTGTAAGAAAGTCCACGGTCCCATTCGATTAAGTGGCATAACTAATTATTTGTATCGATTGGGCGTGTAACCCACCTGTATAGACTTACCTTGTCCAAATTTCTGTGTGGTTTAACGTTACCAGAAAGTCGCACACTGTATGAGTAATGTACTCTGGTAAAGTTCGATTATCCCTAATATAGACCATATCGTCACTAACGATTCTTTGTACTTAAGCCTAAACCTCACGACACGTACAAAAATAAACCTAAGTATTAAAGTATCGTTTTCGGCCATACTCACCCCATGATTTTTACGAGTACGTTTAATGTATAGAAAAATAAAGTGCAGTGGTTTCAATTTATGCTGAAATATATTTATTTTTCTTAAAATAATAATTGTTGTATGTGCATTGTATTTATGTGTTTAAAATAATATTGTTTTTAATTATTGCAAACAAATTAAAATTTATATTCAAGTAATTGCTATTAATGAAAGAAACACTTTTTACCAGAGTGCGCATAGCACTCTATGATAACACCAATATCATGGCTGTATTACATAGCAGACATGTGACACCTGTAGGATTGTAACACTATTTGACATTTTTTAAATGAATTGAGAGCGTATTTATGTCAATGTTTTTTACGCGTTGCACAATGAAACGCTTATCATAAAGGCGTCGATTGACGTTTATTATTGCGTGTGTGTTGTTGAAAGGTGAAACGATACAATCAGTTTTTGGTGGAGAGCTTCATAAAATGGGTTTAGATAACATTGATTTAATTATACCCAGGCTATCTGCTGGTGCAGAACCTATGTTATACGTCTCTCAAACATGAAGGACTGATCCATAACTTACATCAGGCAACTACAGAGAGAGAGAGAGAGAGAGAGAGAGAGAGAGAGAGAGAGAGAGAGAGAGAGAGAGAGAGAGAGTGGGCGTGAGAGATGGGGGTATATGGGGTGGGGTGTGATTTGGGTGAGGTTATGCCACGAGGTGAAGGGAGGGCTGAGGTATAATACACAGCGCTACGTCATTTATTGATATCATTTAATTCAAGGGTAACGGGTAAAATAGTGACGTTTCTAATCTTATATATGATTGATTGATTGATTCATTCATTCATTCATTCGTGTCTACGACTTAGAAATTAACGCTCAGCATTAATTTATACCATTTGGTAATTAATTTAATAATATACATCCATGACAGAATTTGTTAATATATTTACTTTCATTAAAGTTTTAATTAATGAATCGTCTGCTCAGATATGTTGCCCATAGCAACAGCCGTCTATTTCCTGAGGTTGCCGACAGCACATCCAAGCGTACATAACTCTGACGAGCTTCCCCGACGGGTCGTAGTGTTCTATCCGCTCCTTCTCTTTCGTGTGGTAGTAGCAGGCGAGCTTGTGGTTGTCCACGGCGCTGAACAGCTTCTGACACCGCAAGCATTTCGACACCATCCCTCCACCCGCCGCACGGTAACGCGAGATAATCCTTGGCGTTTTTTTCTTCTGCGGTGATTGCTCCTTACTAGTATTCTCTTGTTGGTCTGTTTCGTTGGGCATTTGTAGATTGTTTTTCGTCTCGTTAATGAGTTGTTTGGACGACGTGTCGCCTTTACCTGGCACGATGGTCAGACAGGACTGGACTTGTGACCTGTCGGACATGTTATGGGTCGTGAGATTGACCGAGCGACCGCTGAGTAGGCTAGTCGATTCAGTGTCAAGTAGAAGCGTCTCTGATCGACTGCGCCTCTGATTGGACAACGGTCTTTTAATGACCACTATCCTAGGCGCGACGCTGTTGGTCTGAAGTCTTCTGTGATCATCAGCACCGTTGTTTAAACCTTTGGTGTTTAGCGGCGCCAGGTTTGACGGTAATTCGCTCTCTCGGCCTTGTTTTGACATACTCGATATAGCGTCGTGCAGTGAATCTTCAAGCTTCTGGGCTCTTTCTTTCAACATCCTTAGCTTTTCTTCCGATATCTCAATCAACGATCTTTCCCTAGTGTTCTTTGTTTTATCACTAGACGTATCACTACTTCCTCTATCGTCACTCGCCGGTCGGCTACTCGTCTTATCACTGACCACAACTTCAAACTGACCACTTGCATGTTTGAATTCCTTATTTGATCTACTCACCCTCCTGTTATGACTTTTATCAGCTGGACTTATAACGGTAATTTTACTTCCGTTACTGCTGACGGCAAGTTTATCGCTCCAGTTAGACGACTGTTGTACAGCTTTAACACCAGGCTTGACTTCATCTGTCCCTACACATTTATTGACCAGCACCCGGGCGTCTTTTGTCAGGATGTTCTCTAGGTGACCCAGCTGCTGTTGAAGGTTCAGCGCGTTGTTCTGTTTCTCCAGTAGCGTGCCTTGCAGTGCCGTCATCTCTTCGATTAACTTCCGGTTCTCGCTCTCCAAAGCCATCAGCCGTTTTTCTATATCCCTCTTCTTAACGTTGCTGCTCGCGTTCCTGTCTTGAATATAAGCCGCCAGCGCTTCTTCTAGACTTGTGTATTGTTGCGGTTTTATACTCAACATCTTCAAGCATTTTTTTCTCTCTGAAATAAACGTATGGCATATTTCTTGCATTTGTTCCATGCATTCACGTGTCATTTGTTTCCAGTCTACGTTGTTGTAATCTTCTACAGGAATGTCGGCAGTGTTGGTGATGATGTGGTTTGTAGACTGGTAAAGTTTAGAATCGCTACATCTGTTTGTAGTGTGAGTTGTAGTAGATAGTGTTTGTTTACACGCCGTTCTAGTCGTTCCTTGTTTGGTGTCTTCGTTTGAGAAAGACGCCGGGTGGTTTTGATTTTTCGTGCTTCTGATATCAGGGACACTTGCGTAGTGATGCAACGATCTGGTGGGGCGGTCAGAAGTTGTTTCGAGGGATGAGCTCCCCTTTTGTGAGGGGATCGTTCTGACCCGCTGTGGTACTCTAGGATTGATGACGTCATCGGGAGTTTGGTTCGGTTCTTCGGAGCTGTAGGTCCGCGGTTGCGTGCCCGCCCCCATGGCCGCTATGCTGCAGCACTGGACCAGCGCTTTCAAGGTCAAGGCCGTGTCGATCACGTGGTCGCCGGTGTCCAGGTTTATCTTTCGTTGCTTCTCCGTCAGCTCCAGCGCTCGTTTGAGCCGGACCGCCCACGCGTTGCGTTCGGTTTGGATGTGGGCAGACAGCCAAGCGTAGAAGGTGGCGTAGTTCTCTCGTAGTACCCTAGAGAGAAGAACAACATTGGTTTGGGTTGTATGTTAGTTACCATTTTAATTTGGTTTGCTATTATTAAAATATCGCATATATTCAACTAATAGTTTTATCGTAGTACTCTAGAGAGAAGAACAACATTGGTTGTATGTCCCCATTTTGAATTCGTTTGTTATAAACTTATCGCATATATACAACTGATAGTTTTCTTATAGTACTCTAGGTAGAAGAAGAACATTGGTTTGGGTTGTATGTTAGTTACCATTTAAAATTGGTTTATGTTATTATAAATGTATCCTATTCAACTGTTAGTTTTCTCGTAGTATCGTCAGGAGAAGAATAACATTGGATTACGTTATGCATTACCATTTAACATTGGTATGCATTATTATACACATTCCGCGAGTATACAACAATCGACTCTCTCGTATAAGGCCATTACCGACACAAGTTAGTTAGCCATGGTGAATGGAACATTATTTTTTTAAAAAAAGCATTCTATTCACCCATGTAACCAGTCTCTAGCTAGTCCCGTAGCTTATGCCAGGATTTTGCTGCCAACCCCAGGAAAGTCGCACCATTTGGTTAGAACAAGAGAAACTATTCGGTTGAAGAATGACCCACTGCCTCGAACTCGAACCTCGTGACTTTGGGGTTAGCCGGCACTTGTTCTACCGCTACTCCATTCCGTCCTCCTAACAAGTATAATAACTAAATGTCTGCATTATGTTTCCGTACTTAGATTTTAGGAGCGTTTAATGATATACTAGCGGGTAGATTATGAGTATTGTAATGCTATACTTGCCTACATCTGTAATTAGATCATTTTGTTTAGATTGTTTATTTTAAGTTGAATAGGAAAAAGGCTTTGTTTCTTCTGAGCATACTAAAACAAGTTAGTATCGAAGACAAATTTATCGACCTGTATAATCAACTGTTCCAAAGCATTTCGTCATAAAAAACTCCATTTTGTAATAAATCCCTATCGATTGATTTTCTTATTATTAAATCGATACCTAGTCAACCGCGAAAATGTTTAAACCAGCATAATTTTGGTTCCTTTAAAATCTCTTGGCATAGTTTACGTTTTAACAAATTAACTTGGGTTAATCCTGGAGTTTTACATTCCGTAGATAGATCCATATGTAATAATTTTAGTTTATTGGAAAATCAATCATTCGGCATTACGATACTGTTTGCTACATTTTAAAGTTTTATTTTTGTTTACAAATACAACGGAGTGCGGCTTATTTGGCCTATATGTATTGTGTACCTAGTTTTATCAAGATTCACTCAGTGTTTAGTGAGGGCAGATACATGAAAGACAGACATATAGTTACTTATACATGATGAAAAGACAGACATATATTTCCCTATACATGGTGAAAAGACAGACATTTATTTTACCCAAGAGATGATGAAAAGACAGACATTTATTTACCTAGAGATGATGAAAAGACAGACATTTATTTACCTAGAGATGATGGAAAGACAGAAATTTATTCACCTAGAGATGATGAAAAGACAGAGATTTATTTACCTAGAGATGATGTAAAGACAGACATTTATTTATCTAGAGATGATGAAAGGACGATAAAGACATAATTTATGTAAAGATGATAAAAAGACAGATGTGTATTTACCTAGAGATGATGAACTGGTAGACATAAATTTACCTCGATATGATAAAATTGCCTGCAATATTTGTCCTGAGAAACTCGTTGACGTTTGACTTGATATCCGGGTCTATTGCCACAGTCTTCACCTCATACCCCGTCAGCCTTGTGCGCATGATTAATCGTTTTAACCCTGGGTTAGTCTTGTCCAGCCGCTCGAGACGGTCAAGGTCAGCCAGGCCTATGGACTGTAAGTTGTCCATCAGGTGAGCAGGAACTGTGACGTCTTTTTCTCGAAGTTTCGCCAAAACGTCTGCGTCGGATAAATTCTGTGACTGGTCGTCTTCCGGTGAGCGATGCGATTCGGCGGTGAATTCTTGCGTTGTTTCTGTGGAGATGAAATCCTCAACGGCGTCGGTGTAGCTGTCGTCGTCATCGTCACTAGATGAAATGTTGGCCGTGTCGTCTCCTGTGTCGTCGCCTCTGTCGTCGCCGTTCTTCCTGTTGTTTAAATCACTGTCCGGAGTGTTGATACCACACGTCTCGTCTACTGAGTCTCTCTCTGTTCCGTGTACCGGAAATATTTCTTCATCAGAGGCGAGTGAATTTCTGGGCTTTGACGGGAAACTTTTCTCAGCCAGATACTCAGAGCTGAGGGTAGACATGGGTTGGTCAGTTGGGGTGTCTGATCACTGGGGCATCTGTATATCTAGTCACCTGATGTCTGATCACTGGGGCATCTGCATATCTAGTCACCTGATGTCAGATCACTGGGGCATCTGCATATCTAGTCACCAGATATCAGATCACTGGGGCATCTGTATATCTGGTTACCTGATGTCAGATCACTGGGGCATCTGTATATCTAGTGACCTACTGGTTTTGTACGTTTCTACTTCTTATTTAACTCGGGCACTTATTTACCATGAGCGTGTTCAACATTTTTGTTTGCTATCGTCACACTCCGGTGAATAGGTTAGTCTTTCATTTTTCTTTATTACCAAAGAACAGAAAACTATCTTGTATAAGGAATCTAGAAAACAAAGAAAAAAAAATAATGATTATTATGATAATTTATTAAGTTGGATACAAAATAATTGAAAAAAAAACATTAAAAAATAAATAAAAGAAACTCGCCCCCAAGCTAGAGTTTTTTGTGTTCTTTGATACGTTCTAGTCAATTTTTAAATATCTTCTTCAAGTTTTCAATCAATGCATTGTTTTACAGGCACTGATGTTTGATGCCAATCTGCATATATGAATAGGGCACATCAGGCAATCACTCAAACCACACGACACTCTTGACATGCATTGATTTCAACTGATTCACACTGTCGTGAGAAAATGTTTACACACGTGGCAATAAATAATTCAGTCCGATACGCTATGATTGTAAACACACACACACGCGCGAAGAGGAACGGACGCCCACACGTAAGCACGCCCACACGCACACACACACAAACACACACATACACATAGAGGTTATGCATGTATTTATTTATGGCATATGCATGGGATATATATATATATATATATATATATATATATATATATATATATATATATATATATATATATATATATACGTTTCAAAATACACAATATTATTACACGTGTATCAAAACAAATAAAAGCCCGCAACATAACTACATAGATTATCTTACCCTAGTCTTGTAATGCACCACTGAAAAAAATGATACCCTTATGAGGCAACGAATCTCCTACCATAATTCTAAACAAAATATAAACCTTTCACTGAAAAAAATGATACCCTTATGAGGCAACGAATCTCCTACCATAATTCTAAACAAAATATAAACCTTTCACAGAAAAAAATGATACCCTTACGAGGCAACGAATCTTCTACCATAATTCTAAACAAAATATAAACCTTTCACAGAAAAAAAATGCTACCCTTATGAGGCAACGAATCTCCTACCATAATTCCAAACAAAATATAAACCTTGCCTTTCCAGACGAGCCCTGGGTTTAAACGTTTTTTCCCCCCTTCATGTGTGAACTGAAGCAGACAATAGCTTGGAGCATGACCTAAGACTGATCGATCTACTCCTGGTCTACACGCCAACCGTCTTTTTTACCGTGGTTAACACACCGACCTCTAATGTATTTAATCATGGCCGGCCTTTTTTATTTTAAACCCACACCTGAAAAAATAAAATACTAGTCGATCCCTTGAATTAAATTAGTTTAGGTTCATTATTTGTTTTCAAAGCTTAACGCTGTGGTTGTAATGCATGGTTGTAGTTGTAGTCTACACCTCCTTCGAAGTTACATTAGTTTAATGTTTTTGAAATGCAAGGGAGGCTATTTAATGCTTTTGAAATATAAGGGGCGGTATTTAAAGCTTTAGAAATACAAGGGACGCTATTTAACGCTTTGGAAATACAGGGGACGCGACTTGATGCTTTGGAATTACAAATAACATTATTTATTGATTAGGAAATATATGGCACTCTAATGTTTTAGAAATTAATGGGTCGCCATTTGGTAATACATAGTACAATATACTTTTATTTAATATTTCAAAAAATTGTATTTTACAAACAAACAAAAAAGTTGTATCACGGTCAAGGTCAATATTTACAGAACATCGATTACATGTTTGCTCTGTGATTTGGATTAATTGAACTCTAAGAATTGAAGTATTTTCATTACCGCAGATTTAATTTGTAATTTTATTGGTTATCGTTATGACATTGATTTTAAACTTAACTGATCTCTTCCTAAAACAATCAAGACAATACAGTATCTTGTCAGCTATGATTTACCTATTGTTGTGAGCGTTAAAATCAATCGTCAAGATTAGGATTCGTTTAGCAATACTGGCAAAACGTATATCATGAAATACGAACGTAAAAAGCTATTTGTAATCGTAAAAACGTCAGGCCCGTGTTTCATATTAACTTACACGGGAAACTGCGAATCGCCTTTTGAGAAACCTCGCACATCACTGATTCCATAGTCACGAACCTCTAATACGTGCACAAGTTAACACAAAACCAAAAAGGCATAGATCAACATTTCTCATTAAGACTGTGAGTATTTGAAGATCCCTGTACCAAACAACATACACTTACGATAACTTAAACGTAGCTTAACTTCTCATACAAGGGCTGATAAGACAGTTGTGTTAGAGCAGGGGTTCCCAACCTTTTTTTACTCTAGAGCACATTCTAAAATAACGGTAGGGTGGCGGGCACCACCTATTTTAAATTGACAAACTCCTTCCAGAGGCGTAGCGACCCTTCCCGTCACCCGGGGACAAAACTTTCGATTTGCACCCCTCCCCTCAAACTTTCGATTTGCACCCCCCTCAAACTTCCGATTTGCACACCCCCCTCAAATTTTCGATTTGCACCCCCCCCCCCCCGGCCCTCAAACTTTCGATTTCCATCCCCTTCAACCTTTCAATAATGTTTATGAAAAAAATTCTGTCTCTGTCGAATAGTGAGAGGCGGGCACATACGAATCGTTCGGCGGGCGCCATGGGGCACGGGGTTGGGAACCCCTGTGTTAGAGTATCCTCGAACTATCAATGATACCTAAGTCAGGCACTGCTTAACTTCTCACACTATCACTAAGACAGTTCAATCGTAAGTTAACTTAGGCATAGCTTAACTTCTCATATTAAGGTTGATCAGACAGTCGTGTTAGAGTATCCTCGAACTATCAATGGTACGTCAGTCACTGCTTAACTTCTCACACTATCACTAAGACAGATCAATCGTAAGTTAACTTAGGCATAGCTTAACTTCTCATGTACGGGCTGATCAGACAGTTGTGTTAGAGTATCCTCGAACTATCAATGATACCTAAGTCAGGCTCTGCTTAACGTCTCACACTATCACTAAGATCAGTCGTAAGTTAACTTAGGCTTAGCTTAAAATCTCAAATTACCACTTAGACAAGTCAGTCGTGACCTTAGTCATATCATAACATTTTACATTACGATAGATCAGTAGTGTTTGAGAATCCCTGCACCAAACAACAAACGCCAATAATTCAATAATACCTTAGGTAGAGCTTAACATCTCATTCAATCTTGAATGTTTGAGAATCTCTGCACCAAACAACAAACGCCAATAATTCAATAATACCTTAGGTAGAGCGTAACATCTCATTCAATCTTGAATGTTTGAGAATCTCTGCACCAAACAACAAACGCCAATAATTCAATAATACCTTAGGTAGAGCTTAACAACTCATTCAATCTTGAATGTTTAAGAATCCATGCACAAAACAACACACGCCAATTATACATTAGTCAGGCAGAGCTTAACAATTCATTCAATCGTGACTGTTTGAGAATCCCTGAAGCTAACATTACACACTAATGCCTTAGTCAGGTAGAGCTTAACATCTCATAATCGTGACCGCTTGAAAATCCATGTAAGAAACAGAACACACCAATAAGACCTTAGTCAGGTAGAGCTTAACTCATAGCCGTGACCGTTTGAAAATCATTGCATCAAACAACACACATCAATAATACATTAGTCAGATAGAGCTTAACAACGCATTCAATCTTGACCGTTTAGAATCACTGCACCAAACAACACACACCACTAATACCTTAGTCAGATAGAGCTTAACGACTCATTCAATCATGACCGCTTGAGAATCCCTGCCAGAAACAAAACATACCAATAAGATCTAGGTCAGGTACAGCTTAACAACTCATCGTGACCATTTAAGAATCCCTGCACCAAAGAACACCTACCAATGATACCTTAGTCAGGCATAACCTAACATCTCACATTTGTTTTCAGCCGTATTGACAACTAATCGCAATGGGTCGTAAAGATCATTCAACACATTGTATCATAGCCCGAATCGATCTCTCGTCAACGGAGTCCACTCATGTGTAACCTCATTCAACACTTGAGATCAACCACGAGCTTTTATTACGTTGTCGCCTACACTGGCCGTATAACGTTTTGTTGAACACACATTATTAGAAACCTTCCCGGTTAGCTCGATCTAGTAACGTTTGGTCAACTCATGGTTCGACTGGAAAGATCGCTTCTTAGACCGATTTTATTCCTTGGTCAACTAATAATTTCACTTGAAATATCGCTTCTTAGACCGATTTTATTTCTTGGTCAACTCATAGTTCATCAAATGGAAAGATCGCTTCTTAGACCGATTTTATTTCTTGGTCAACTCATAGTTCATCAAATGGAAAGATCGCTTCCTAACTCGATGTAATGTCTTGGTCAACTCAATGTTCGTCAACTGGATATATCGCTTCTAGTCCATTGTAATCTCTTGGCCAACTCATAGTTCGACAAATGAAAAAATCGCTTCCAAGACTGGTGTTATAATATAACTTTGTGATGAAGTTTTGCAATCGTCGAATCGAACATTCCCCTTTAGTCTGATTTAATAGCTTAATAACGAACCAACGTTTAGTCCTATCGATTGTTTCCCACTAGCTAATTAAGAAACATTTTGCTTTAGCCTATCTTATAACTATTTTGTTCAACAAATTGAATATGTAACTCACCACCTTCCTCAATTCTGATCCTGCAGTTATCATGCTTTTTCATGCTGAAAACTCACGCATAACATAAATCGTGCTTAAAATTATGAAAACAAAACAAAAAAAAAAAACCTGCGAGAAATCACGTGGCTAAAAACAAAATCACCAAATAATTGCTTTGCAAGACGACGTCATGTTTGGTTAATTAGAAAACTGATACGCGCTGTGTAGGAGGCCACGCCACATGGCTAGTGGTTGTTGATTTGTTAAGCGGAATGTTTTCTTAGAGTACAGCCGTCGACACAAATAGTATGCAGCACGTCAACGGAAGTAACAAATATCATATTTCTGATTGACCAAGACTGCAAAATGTTTCAG